GTGTTGTTTATTCGTGGTTGGTTTTCTTTGTTACTTTTTTCCCTTTTTTGTTCGTCTTCATTCTACAACAATGTCCACATAGTCCCAGTAACCCAAAAGTGATTGTGGTCATAAAATGAATGAGTAAATTGTTGTTAAAGTTGATGGTTTATTATTATTATTATTTTCACTCCATTTCTCTACTTTGTTCATTCCATACGTTCCAATGTTTCGAAGTCATAGATTGTCACGTATTGTTGGCTTGAATTTTACGCTATTTTTAATGAAAGTGGTATTCCAATCGAAAGGGCGTTCGAAATCAATTATTCAAACACATTTTGTGGACAACGATATTGATATTTGCATTCAAAAGTGTCTCAATGATCCGAATTGGCCCGGTTCTCTCTTGGTTAGCCTTTGATATTGTGCGCGCTCTGGCTCTGAATCAAAATCGTATATGTTTTCATGTTTGTCGTACACACATTGTGTGCAATGGAATAAAATGAAATGTCGAAACGAAAGAAAGCCTCATTTTCGGTACGATGTAATTTATTTGCCATGAAAATACAAATACACATTGCACATCACGACTCGTATGTGTAATCACATTGACCATCAGAATTCAAATTTGAAACGAGAAATTACGTCGTTTGATGGATTTTGTGTGTGTGTGTGTGTGTATGTGTGTGTATGTGTCTGTGTGTGTACGGGTATGGGTATGTATGTCTGTTCGGTGCACAAATACGATTCCCTCGAAATAATGGTTCGTCGTTCAAATGCATGACGCGAACAAAACCGTATTTATTACGATGAAACTGTAAGTGAACTCTGTTTGATTCCGAATGCATGTATTGGTTTGAACGATAGAGTTGCTCATGTATGAGTTTTCCGAAAAATGAAGAAAAAAACATATATTCAAACAAGAATTTGCTGTGATGACCGAATTTGCTGTGATGAACAAAGTCACATTCAATATAATGTTGCACAGTTTCGTATTCGATCAAGTACGAATAATATGGAAGTGTGTGTAATATTGTTGCCTGCGTGTGATTGTCAGTATAGCTCTCTCTCGTTCATACATAATGGCAAAAAGGTAGCACGATATCTTGTTGGTCCCAAAATACCATAACAAATACACATTCGTTTCGTGTATAATATACGCACACACACAGAGAGAGAGCATGGCTTTCCGTCACTTTCGCACGGTCAAACAGTTTCTATGCGCGTAAGCGAAACGGAGCACATGCTATTTAAATAGACAATCGTTCGACTCGCAATCACTGGCAATGCTTTTGACGTGGCTTTTACGTCGTTTAGTACAGTAGACTATATGAGTTGCGAGTGAGAGCGATCACAGCAGCGACTGCGACAGCAACAGCACCGAATCGTGTGTGACGAATACGTGATATATACGTAAGTAAGTGGTAAGTATTCAAATCCATCTCTCATATTATGATTTTCGTGCTGCTGTTCTGTGTATAGTTTTTTTTTATTATTTTTATTCCTCGACTCACTTTGCATTTTGTCATCGTGATTTTTTTGTGCGTTATTGCCATTTTTGATTCGCCATTATAGATAGGATTTTTAGACACACAAAAAAAATCAACAGAAAGAATATTATGATTTGATCTCAATTAGGTATTAATAATAATTCATTTTCGTGTGTTCATCAGTTTTGTTGTGTTGTTTTTTTTTGCTTTCTATAAATAATCGTATTAATCCTCTTGTTGGAGAGTGTTTATCATCGTGTGTTTGTGGTGATTGACAATCGCCTGGATTCCAAAACAAGACGACAACGATGACAATAGAAGAATAAAAAAATTTCACGTATTTTTGACGTTGGCAATGATGTACACATTGAATTCGTCGACAATTTGTCGAATTGATTTTTGTGAACGAATTTTTGGGATTTATATCGGTAACACGACAGTGAGAGAGTAATATCGTTATAATCGTCATTCATAAAGTTCATGGTGCTCGCGCGCGTTCTCTTTCTTGCTCTCGCACTATTTATTCCGCTCTCATCAATGTGTATGTGTGTACACATGTGTGTGTATTTGTTTCTTTTTTGTGCGTTGCGATTTTTCCTATTATCACATATCGTTGTCGACACACAAAACGACGACATTATTTCGTACTGTGATACGAAATAAAAAGATTTTTCGTTCGGGGTTGGATTAGTATTCTATCGTAAAAGTGTATCTTTATTTTTGTTGTTTCTTTCATCAAAAGAGAGATATCGATGTCATAAGCAGCAGGAAAAAATCGTACATATTTTGTGAGTGTTTGTGTGTTTGTGCATATTCATGACCGAGGCATGATATGAAGGAAAAGTCAATTTTATCATTGTATTCGTGAAATACACACAGTGAGTACACATCGAATGTGTCACATTTCGTTAAATTCAAAAAATTTCTTCAACTCTGTATATACACAAAAAATTTCGTTTTTTTTCTTTTGTTGCGGGTGACGGAGATGACATGTCAAAAATTGTGTGTCATTGATTCCAAAATGAAACCAACAGAAAAATATACAAAAGTGTTAAAAATGAGTGTGTATGTGCTCGAATAAGAAATACATTTTTCTTATTTCGATGATATCGCTTTGAAAATGTGAAATTGTGCTACCAATTTTCTCTGTTTTATTCTTGATGAATTGAGAGCGCGTGTGTGTGTTTTCTGATTGTTGTGCAGAAATAAAGGCGCGAACCAATATTGTTGGCCCTGTTTTGCGGGCGCTACGAAATTCATGCAAAAACATGTTGGTGTAGCAATTCAACATTCCAACATTTCAAACCTATATATTTTTATTCTCAATTTTTTGTTGTTGTTGCTGTTGTTGTTTCATGCTTCGAATGGTTCTTGGGAGCAACTGAACTCATGATTTATTTTGCTATGTGCACGGGTAGTTGAAATTGTGTGAGTGAATAACATCATCATATTGGCAATGTGCAATTCACAACAACAATGAACCCACTTTACATAATAGATTTCGAATGCCACTGAAAACAGATACACACAATATGGTGTATGAGTTGACAATATGGTGTATGAGTTGTTTGGACCCGTTTGAAAATTGATTACATATGTCTTCACCAGAAATACGAACATTCCCCGAAACAAAAAAAATCCATATCAATAAAATTCGTACGTTTCCTTCTGCCCCTCACTTTCCTACTCTTTCCTGCTCACGTTGCATTTCCTCATTATTATTAGTATCGAGCGGTGGTATGATACCACTGGTATCAACGTTTTTTTTTCCTTCAAGAAGAAAAATGGAAGTAGTTAGTTGGAGAGATCAAAAGGAAATTAAGTAAATGATGAGAACCCAAACGACATGTGAACGTAGTTAGTCTCATGGGGATATATTGTTTTTTAAAGCGAAATAACCCAAAACATGTGGTTGTCCTTTGAAATGGTAGTAATTTTTATTATTAACGTATTGTGAGTGTAAGTGGTTTTGTGTTTATCCATGCCTTATCAAACCATTCCAATATGCCTGAAATGAATGCGCAAACAAATGTTAATTTCCATGCTTTTTTCCTGGCATCATTTTAAGCGGGAGAATGATATTAACTTTGTTCAATTTCCAGATGAATAAAATATTCATACGATGACGGAAAAGTACCGAAACACAAACGTTTGTTACATTTTTAGAGTGGGTTTTACTCGGAAGACAAGTGTTCACCATTATTTGACTACTTAGCTATTACACTGTGCGTCATTTTTCAACTTCAAATTTCTGACAGAAACGAGACCAGTCGGTTTTACATAATTCGGGGGCGCTGATTTCAATGGCATCATTCGTTTTCCCCCATCACGTCAGGATTTTCCACAATTTTGGATTATTTTTGTATGGTAACTGTATTCCAAACTAATTTTATAGCATAAAAAGCGTCATATTTGGTCTTTTCATGCCAAAAACCCCCAAATACTCATTTTCAGAGCGTTTGAATGGATACCAATTTTACTTCAAAATGTGGACTTCAGAGGGGAATAACCAAATCAATTTTTTTCAAATGACTCAATTTTTTCTAAAACCGTACTACAACGCCTGATAGGTCACCCCTCTGGGATATTGCATGAATTCAAAATGTTACTAGAGTATAAACAGCCAATTTGGGTTTTCCGGGAAACTTCCGAGGAAAATTGTGCAAAATCCTGACGTGATGGGGGAAAACGAATGATGCCATTGGAATCAGCGCTCCCGAATTATGTAAAACCGACTGGTCTCCTTTCTGTCAGATTTTGAGTGACACACAGTGTTACCAAATGAGACTTGAGCGATTTATTGCTCTATGAGAATGACAAAGGCATTGAATAGTCATCAACTGAATTTTCATTTGAAAGATGCGCGCAGTAAATTCGCATTGTGCGTTGCGGGCGCTCACTCACTCACAATATTTTTAATTTTGTCCTTCTCCGTTCACTGTTCTGTTTACTTCTTCTGCAGTTGTTCTCCCATTCGAATTGTATATTATTTTTGTGATGATGATTCTGTTGTTGTTCTTCTTCTTCTTCTTTTTTTCGTATTTCGTTCGTATTTTTAAACTATGGCGTCATCAGTATACAAATTCTCTGTGTGCGCTCGTTCGTTCGATGTATCTCACAATTCGTGAAATCGTATTGCATACACACACAAATACGCGTGCACACCGATTTCAATTTGGCCGTGTTTCATTGCCCCACTTGCGCTTATTATCCATATTACGATGCGAATAAATAGAAGAATATAATCAACAAAGTTGCCGTACATCCGCAGAAATTTTTCGATAGTGTTTTTTTATTATTCGCTTCTTTCCATCAACGCTGTGTTTACACACAAAAATCCTCGATATTGAATTTCGACTAGATTTCTATGTCTATGAAACGAAGAATGTCATGAAATGTGTTGACAACTGATTATAATCCATAATCCGAATGTAATTATTATTAACGGTTGCGCATTTTAAATACAGATTATTTCATTTGCTAAAATTATGCTTAAAAGACGATTTGATGCGATTTTGTTGTACGCTGTAATCGCATTTTTATCTAAACCTACAATAATACTATTGAATTGTCGTACCTTTTTATACGCATCGTCCGACGCAGTAATAATTCAAAAACAAAAGAACAAACTGTTGACATTTTATGCCATGCATTCATTTAAACTGACATACACATTAACCGCATTCACGTTTCTTGTCATGCCAAATTGGTTTTATTTACTTCATTGAAATTTAAATTATCGGCGAAAATGTAAAATGTGTGATAAATACAAGCGTTAAATTATGTTTCGTGTTCATCGTGTAATTAATACAGAGTTTCGAAATTCATGTAAATAATTAAAACTTTATTATTAGCGACTGATATCGAACTTCTTCTCTTGCAGTATTTCGACATGTCATCGGGTCAAAAAATTCCATTTGGCATGATATTCTTATTAGAATTAATTTGACTGGTTTTTTCTTCTCAATTTCAGAAGTCGAATCAATGAATACGGAGTAAATCTTTTAGAAAAACGTGTCTATGAGAGAAAAACATTAGGTCGAATATAAATACTTAAAAAACGGTGAAAATATACAACATTTGTAATAAAAAAGGTGAAAAGAAGTGTTGTGTAAGACACTAATCAGATTGGTGTAAAGATAAGAAAGAGAGTGCGTGTGTGTGAGTTGGCAACTGAGTTGCTATGGAAAGCAACATGGTCGAAGAGAATGGTAATTCGAGTCTCGACCAATTGGGCGGTGAATCAGCAGCGGCACACAATAACACCGACGACAATTCAACACATCAAGCACAACAATCACAGTTATCCTCATCGTTGCATCACCAGCAACACCAACACCAACATCAACAACGGCAACAGGACGCTTCACCGTCAGGCGCTGTATTGGCAACGTCAGCAAACATTGTCCAATTTATTCCAACCCAAAGCGTACAGGTAAGTTGAAGTGTTTTATCATATCAATCGCTCGCATCACATTTTTTTTGTATTTCATTTACAAATTGACACCGAGAGATTATCGAATAATCGAACATGCCACCGAGTGTATCCAAATGACCCGGACATATATTAAATGGCTTGTACATATCTAACACACGATGACTAACCAGTGGAAATTAAAAAAAGAGAAGAAAATGTATTACACAATATATATATCTGACGCGCGCATGTTGATTGAACGAATTTAAAATAGAAAATTGAATTGAACATTTTCAAGGTGCTAAAACCAATCGTCCAAGCAATGATCGTTAATTGCATAGTCACAGCATGCATTGTAAATGGAAATTCAAGTCCGATTTTTGTTGTGTATATTTAACTGTAGCCGCATGTTCAATTTCGCAACAAAAAAAACAACAACACATAATTCTATGTTTCTCATTGCCCTGGTATCATCTTTTCTCTCTCTTTCCCTTTCTCTCTGCTCTTCTGTTTTTCGCCTGTTCTGTCTGTCTGCTCATCGCCATAATCTACCCTCGCGATCAATTAATTTTAGGCTCAATCTGTAATACAGGCCAATCAATCATCGGTCATACAAACAGCAGCCAATCTACAGCCGCTACTGGGGAAAAGTGTTTTGTATGTGAATAAAGGAAACTCAGTTATACACACGGCACCCGGCATTCAAGTTCAGGTTCGTATTTTCAAAATTACAATATGATATTGACCTCATGCCAATTTATAATGTAGTTTATGTCGGCATAGTGCATCTCCTTTGAAAATATTGATAAAAGTTTATTATGAGTATGTTTGTTTTGATATTTGCAGATCAAACCGGAACCAAATTCTCTATCGCATCAAGTGCATGCCGCAGATACGAACAGTGATAATGACAGTGTGAGCGACGATGATTCACTGAAACGACGGAGGGATTTATTGACACGACGACCATCCTACCATAGAATTCTTAAAGACATTACTGGCCCCGATATTGCTGGTAATTATAAATGTAAACAATTCTTTCGATTTTAGTTTGATTCTTCTTTAGTTACCACCATGTGACGAATAGAATATTTGTGAGTAATTTGTATTCGAATTCTGTTGCAGTACTTCCAACATCAGCGCTCCAAATCGCAAGTGTACAAGGTGCCGACGGTTTACATGCGATACAAACAAGTGGCAGCGGCGGAACAATCGTGCAATATGCGGCACAAAATCCGGATGGACAATTTTTCGTACCTGGTGCGTAAACATTTTTTTGTTCGATGCATGAGTTTTATTTAGAAACTTGAAATGACTCTATCCCAATCAACAATTTGTAATGCAAATTCACCCATTACCAGGCACAAATTCACGGTCAAATTTGAACCCGGATTTGTGTGTAGTTTCAGTTATTTTTATGTTTGCCATAGCGTAACATTCAGGTGTGAATACATGGAAAAGAGGAACGACAATCATTAGTATCAATTGAATTGTATACGAAATATCATTTTTTTTTTAATTAAAAACTTTACTCACCCACGGGCTCCTTCCCTCCGTACTACCGTTGTACTGTTCTTATGAACGCACAACAAGGCCACAAGATTTGTGTAACACAAATGGTGTCAAGCCTAGCTAAGCTTACTAATCGTTATAATATTTGTTTTATTTGATAATTTATGGATTCAATGCTGCTTCTTGTCAGGTGACATTGTTTGGTGGTCTTCTCAACGAATAAGGCACTAGTACGCCAAACATCCGACAAAGTCCTGTGTAATTAGAAGCAAAAACATTAAACAAATGAATAGACTCTATTTTCAATTGATTCATACCTTTGAGCATAATACATTTTGCAGCAGCAACATCACCCTGAACATTTAATGGCCAATTTTTGTAGGTAACTTTAACCTTTGACATTAAACGCCCATTCCGAAGTATTTCCTCTACATCCTGATAATTGCCATTGCGAATTCGACGCTTAGTTTCCTTCCGTCCCTTTTGCAAAGCACGTTTGCTAACCTTTGCCACAATTATATCTGGCAGACTAGCGACTGAGTCCGGTAGTCCAGCAATCGGTTTCGCTTTGCAACCGTAGCACACTTTGAATCGATGCGGTTTTGTGTTCGCTGGAAAGCGTTCTTGGCAATTCGCGCATGTTTGTGATGATCCCCATTCATCTTCCATTTTCACCACTGAATGGCAAAGTTTCTTGACGCTCACCAAAAATTTCCGAGATCCTGGACATCTTTTCCGTCTCTTCAAACCAAATGGCCGTTTGGGTGGCATCTCCGATGCACCAAATATAATTATTGACGGCTCGTTGTTGGTCACTGTCACGGCGATGTTATCATTTACTTGGTTCGACTTCATGTAATGATCAAAATCCAGTCGTGAATATTTGCGCGTAGCATATGCTCACATTCCTTTTCGTAGCATTTTGATGCGATACTCAATGTACCATTGCCATGTTTAATTACGCGGTGATGGTGGACCGAATGGGTATGTCTTCAGATGATTCTTTCCTTCGATATCAAACCATCCAGCCAAGTTTTTCGCCTCTTTTTCTCTTCGTTTCTGCCGAGTTTCCTAGTAGAATCGCGTGTTTGGTATTGTGATGTTTTCCTTAAAAATTCAAAATCATAAAAACAATTAGTTTCGATTCGAACACATTTCAAGTTAGATTTCAAAATATCTCACCTCAACGGCCGGTTCATCAGGTGTTTTCCGGATGTTGCGACGCGTTATAGCCAACCATGTTTTTTCATTCGGATCGATGCCAATAACGTATTTCTTGCCTACAAGATTGTCCGCATGTGTGTGCACATTTTCATTGCAAGCCCGCTCTGATTTTGTGTACAGTACCGATACGGAAACACTATTGGTCACGATTTGATGATGGAATTGTTTGGATCGTTTGCTCAATTGGTTGATTTTATCGACGTCGAACAACAAATTCCATGGTCCATCTCGATCATGATCTCTGTAGTATTTTTCGGGGTATTTATTTAGCCGGTTGGTATCTGTATTCAGGAATCTAGGTACCACTTTTAGCTTGCTTGCCAATTGCGACCAGATCATCCAATAAAATGTTGGCCTTTTCTATTCTTTCCACATTACCATTTGTCCGGTCGTTGGATCGATATGCTAACATTTTGGCATTTCTGATGTCGATGCCATCAAATCTCGGTCCATAGATGTTGTGATTGCGATAACAGCATCGCATTCGAAAGAATGACTCAAGTCGATCTTCACACCAAGTGGTGAGAACCAGTTTTCGTATTTGCGATGTGCTGTTTGACAAAATAACGAAAACCATTCTCCAACTTTTCCTTGCTTGGCCATTCGAACTGTTCATCACTGAAGTTTTCGACCATGAACCGAAACTCTGGCGGTATGGGATTTCGGCTATTATTATTGTAAACATTTTCAGCCAATACCGCATTGAAGCAATCGAAGAAGAACTGTCGACGATCCCATCGCAAAAAGAAGTGACGATCTTCATTATCGAGTGCTTCATTCACCTTGAATAAAATCAAAAGTGAGGCCATGAGGCAACTTCCATCATTTGAAGACTGCGCTCAAACAATATTTGCGTCACAACTGCTGCATGCTCGGGTCAAAGTATTGTTTGCAATCCACATTTTATTGCAACGAAATTATTTTCTTCTTCTCTTTCGTCATCGTATACCGGCGAATCGTTGTTATCTCTTTTTCTTTTCATTCTCGAAGAACTGATACAAATAAACGAAAGTAAAAAAATACACACAAATTTAGAGAAAAATGCACCAAATATAGCATAGATCACAAACACAATAAGATAAAAACACTTCTATCACAAATCAAATGAAAGAGTAATGAAGAATGCATCATAAATATCACGTCTTACCTCAACAAAGTGACTCTGTGTTCTAAATCAAATGATGAAATTTATTTCCAATGTGACATCAAATATTTTCCCGATCGAAATGTTGTTGGAATATTCACAGTAAATTTTATCAACACTCTGTTATTTCGAAATTAAAACAAAAATGAACACAAAACCAACTGTGAATATATCCATTCCTCAGCGAACAGCGTTCCGAACACATAAAAATCGTTGAAATTGAAATGACAATAAAATCAATTGATCGCCCAAACCACGCTACAAACACTCACATCTAATTCTCAAGAAATCCTCTTAAAAACAAAACAAAGTTTTATTGTAAACAAAATCGGTTGGTGCGATTGTAGTTTCAAACTGATGGAAGTTGTTTATACTAACAATACTGTCACACAATGCGAACACATTTTTAATACATATAAATGAATATCGTTGGACTTGGTTTGACACATATACACTGCGCCAATCGAAAAATGTTGGAAAGATGTCAGTTGCATTTCGAAAATTCAAAATAATAATTCCACAAATAAAGAAAATTAAATGCAATAAATGACGTATAAAAAAATAGTTCTTCTGCAGAGTTTTAAATTAAATTATGCAAATCTCTGTCCTAACAAATTGTTTATTTTTTTATTCGAGCGTAATATTTGGATTTTCAATTTAAAACTTAATGTATTGGGTTGTGTTCACATTATGTTGTCAAATGAAATATTATTGGAAGTGAAAGAAACAAGTGGATCCATTCCATTGGAATTCGTGGAAACTATGCATATAATGTCCGTTCCATTTGACACGAAAATGACCACCAGAATGGGCTAAAACGTTACATTTTTCAACGTTAGAATGTACTAAAAACATTATAAATTTGTTTTCTGGGATATAAACTATATTCACATTTCGAATATAACCATTGGTTATTTATTTGTTTTTCACAATTTATAGCTGAAGACCAATCACGAAAACGTGAGATTCGATTGCAAAAGAATCGAGAAGCAGCTCGTGAGTGTCGCCGCAAAAAGAAGGAGTACATTAAGTGCCTCGTATGTGTTAATTCAAATGTATTTTATTTTTAATATCGATTTATTGGAAATTAAATGTAGCAACGCTCTCGAAACGACGAATCGAGTAACCGTATAAATTAGATAATTCTTCAGCCGACAGCTTCGTATATATTCCAGAAAATGATGTGGAACGTTTGACTGTAAAACTGTGTGTGGTGGGAAAGTAATTCAGGATTGATTCAATTTCTTTTACATCTATGACGATGTCAACGACCAGAATACGATATTCAAGACCATTTTCTGGAATATTTGCGAAGCTGTCGGCTGAAGAATTATCTGATTTATACGCTTACTTAATTCATCGTTTCGATAGCGTTGCTACATTCAATTTCCAATAAATCGATATTAAAAATAAAATACATTTGAACTTTGTTACGTTTATTTTCTAATAAATCGATATTAAAAATAAAATACATTTGAATTAACACATTCCAGGAAAATCGTGTTGCCGTATTAGAGAATCAAAATAAAGCGTTAATCGAAGAGCTAAAGTCACTAAAAGAGCTCTATTGTCAGCAGAAAAGCGATTGAGATACCGAATAGCATCCGCATTAATGCATCCATACCCGAAAAGTACTGCTAGCAAAAAAAGCAAAAATCGAGAAAAAAACGAAGAAGAAAAAATTGAGATAGGCGCGATGAGTTCAGGCAGTGTGCATATTTTTTTATGTAGTTTCTTTTTATTTTGTTACCTGTAAACCAATCGACATCTTCAAGTGTATAAAACTGAGAACATAGAGTACTAGTTAAAAAAAGTCAAGTGCATGCCATCACACATTTATTAGGAAACACATAAAAACCCTTAAAGTCTGTGACTGACGGGCCATGTGTTGTTCTCTCTCTATCTCTTTGTTTTTCTTTTCTTTTTTCTTGTCAGTTTAGATAACTTTTGTAAAATCTATTTAGAAAAAAGAAACAAAGAGAAAAAGACAATTGTACATTTACTATACGTTTTCCATCCACCCCTTTTTAAGAAAACACAGTTCCAATTTTAATTCTACAATTGAAATGTTTTGCTAGAGCAAAAGTTCTGCTATCGACCGACTTGCATTTCTTACTTTTTATTTTTGTTTTAACTATCCTTTTCTTCTTTTTTAGTTATTTTATAAATATTATTAATAGTATATTTGAGAGAAAAATCATATGTTTCTTTGGTAATTATAAGAAGAAGAAAAACACAATTATAAATTTATGTATAAAGAGATATATTTAAAAGAAAAACATACACTTGAAAGAAAAAAAAATCTTTGAAAAAACTATGGAATATTTTTTATTACGCATTGAAGCTATAGATATATAAAATATGTATTTAAAAAAGAATGAATGTGGGGCAAAACACAAACAAAAACAATGTATTTTAATGAATATATATATTATATTGATCAGATATTTTGGGAAATCAAATGGAAAAGAAAACTGCAAATACCCATTGAATTTCATTGGCCCCTGTCACCAATATGTTAAATTACATGTTTTTATGGAAATAAAGAACTAAGTCACACACAATTTTAAAACAAATTTTACGAACAGAGAAGAGAAAGCGATATGAAAGAAATAGAACAAGATCATATTTTATGTTTAAAAGCTTCCTTAACGAAATTGTGTCCAAAACAAATTGTGACAAAACAATCAATTTTATTGAGTCTTACACACAAGTGGTTGTGGATTTTAAATCCCTTTGCCACTTTGACCATATTTATACCATTTTTATGTTACCCATTTTCTCATACTATTATGAAAGTCATATCTTTGCATTGTTCTTTCTGCTGATGCTTGTCACATCGGTCCACAAAGACACTCAACTGACAAAACTCTTTCAGTAACAAACATCCTGCCGCATCGAATACCGAACACACACACACATACTATTTTAATGATGAATTAAAACAAAATGTAAATAAGAACTTGGTCATAGTTAAAAACATTTCAAATTACCACATAATAGAGAGCAACATAAAATATTGCAAGAGATAAAAAGTAAAAAAAACTCTTATATATTTGTACAAAATAAACTGTAAGTTTTGAATGATGAGAAAAAAACGATTATTGAGGATTTTATTATTATTATATGTGTGAAGATGATGAAGAAAATGTAAACGAAAAACTCTTTTTGTAAATAGAGGTAAACAGGACTTTGTGCATTAACAAAACACACTAGATTAAAATAATAGTGTCTATCGACCGCAAATATGTTGATATTAGTGAATGAAAGCCAATTCGGTCTGGTTTATATATTCTAATAAAATATCAACTCATACTAGATTAAAATGTTTCAGTTCAGAAAATTTTCAATCACAAACAAAATGAAGAATCATATTTTCTGTTTCGGTCAAAATATCCGCTTAACTCTTTTTTCTTTTAAACAAAAGTGAGAATAACCTTGGATGTCATCTCTATACATGTATGTGTTGCTATTTGCTGGACAGAATAATTGTTTTTCATGTACTTATTTTAGATCTCATAAAATGTAGAGTTTTGTTTTTGGGGCGGGGAATTTTTATTTGACAAGTTAAAACTTTTTTGGTTTTCTGAATTAAATTCAGCTTCTATCTATATCAAAGATCTTAGCTTAAAGCAATATACACAAAACTATCCGTAAATGGGATTAGCACTAATGCTGGTTATATCAGCCAACATTTAAATATTTCACAATACCGCTTTTCTTAGTCGAATTGGATTGATAAATTTTGATATTGACTCAATTTATTCAAGTTTTGATTTATCAAAATCTCAAAAGCAATCTGTAATTGAAAGAGCCATCATTTATCCAATTTGCATAAGATCCGATTGCCCCGATCTCTGATCTCTACAGTGTATAATCACATGTCATCTTATTATATCATTATTCAATGATGTATGAAAACTTCTCGGAGTGAGAGATCGATCGACCTAGTGCTTGCGACAAAATTGGTACCAAATGAAAACAGTGTGAATGAATGATTTTTCACAACCTACAATGAATGCAATTGAAACAAAAAAGTCAGAAAAATCCGAGTGAATATCAAAACATAGCCTCCATATTTTCACAAACAAATGGGAAACAGTCCAAAAGGATTGAAGAATTTTAACTTTTAGTCGAGTAAAGAAAAAAATATTGAAAGTTTTAACCAAATTGTTTATTAAATTATATAGTTAGAAGGTCTTTATTTGCTTTAATGGGGAAGAGTAAAAAAATATAAAATTCATGAATTGTGCACAATTTGGTGGCGATACGAATATTGTTGATTCCAATCGATCAATATACTGTTGTGTTTGTATTTCTTTTTTCTGTTTCCCGCCACATACACACACAAATTATTGTTGTCTTATTGAGTCAAAAAATGATCTTAATTCACATAAGAGAAATGTCACTTTGGCTCAATAAATTTGATGGTGAAAATGCAAAAAAAAACTAGGTTAATTGGTAACAATGGAACGAATTCAATGTATTTACACAAAAGAGAAAAATAAAAATTTGAGAACTTGATAGAATGCATCTTTCTTTCAGTCTTACAGGTTTCTTTTTTTTTGGTGTGTTCGAGGTCAAAATATAATTTTTCAACACTATAAAACGTATTGCGAAATTTATTTCTTGTCAATGTTGTAGTGATGATATTTACGTTGTAGTATAAATGGAGCTGTAATTTACACAAGAATTTACTGCATATTAACAGGAATCTATTCCGAGTTTGTAATGAACCCGTTATTTGAGGCACACTTTACTAGTAAAATACTAACTCATTCCAACCTGAAATAAACACAAAAAGAAACGCAATGTTTGTTTTCAGAAGAATTTTGATCGCATTGCGGGCGTTTCAATATTTATTATTTATTTCGACAATGACATGCGATGATTACAGTTCTTTGATAGCATCGTTGATTTCTGTTTGACGTTCCAAAATTGTTTTCCATTGTTCTGGTGTCAGCGAGATACCTTTTTTGCCGGGTACCTAAGGGGAGAATCACAAAAGAAAAGAATAAAATTTAAAATAATCGATAAGTAATCGGAAAATAATCGGAAACATATAATGAAAAAATTGCAAATCAATAGCCACAACAACATTAATGTCCAGCAATTGCTTTAGATTGAGATCTGGTAGTTATAATCGTCGATTTCTGTGAAAGAGAAAAAAATAAAACAAAATATTCACTATAGAATAGTACTCCTTACCGTCTTAATACGATAGGGTTGGGTCCGCTGGTCACTTCTTAGATCAGAGAATGAAACCAAACAATGAATATTAATAAATAATAAGCAAATATTACAGATTCATTAACTAAATTCCAACGGTAACTTACTAATGGAACGACCGCGGCTTAATTTCTTTTGCCGGGAAGAATACGATTGCGGACCGGTTCGTAGTTGGGGCAAACTAGAAACTGATCGATACAAATTCGATGCGATAAAATTAAAATTCATTTCACAATGAAGAAAATGCAATGCAAAAAAAAACTTACCGATCCTTTGTAGTCATATTTTCCGGGTTTTGACATCGTTTTTGGTCGGTTTGTGAACGATTCCCAGTGTAAGAACTAAAAATGTGTCCATATTCTTCTTCGACATTTGATGTGTCCGATTTGTTGTTCCTGCCAATGAATGAATGTTGAAAACAAAAAAAAATATGAAAAAAAAATCTTTAAAAAAAATTCAATTGCATATCGTAGTCTACACAGAAAGAAAATATCAGCCGACGCTGTACGCAAAACCGACTGGTACGTGCGCTCATACGTTTTTACATCTTTTACATCTATTACCATACGATTTTTCGACTGTGCGAAGATACGCACAAAGAGTAACGAATCAGTCGAAAAATCGTATGGTCACTAGATGTAAAAGATGTAAAAACGTATGAGCGCACGTACCAGTCGGTTTTGCGTATAGCGTCGGCTGATATTTTCTTACTGTGTAAGTAGACTTTGAAAAATCATAAGAAACTGCGTCGCACTATTGGCTAACGGCACCCGTAATCCACTGTGCACATGCACAATGATGAAATTCATGATTGGACATGATTTTGTATTGTATTCTCTCTATCTCAATCTCATTCTACCATGCAGTCAATTTAAAAAAAAAAATTCGAAAATTCTGTTTTATATTATATTTTAAAATAATACTTACCGAACACTATTTCTGGAAAAACCGACAAAAATCCAATTCGAGAGAATATTTCACTTTCAATGCAAACTGAAAATTTAAGCGCAGCAATTTTAGTTCTTACACTGGCAATGGTTCGTCACGATGTGAATTGTTGCCGGCTTGTTGGTTTGAAATGTCACAGTCAAATACACTCTCACACCAACACATTCAAATCGGTTTGTCGTTGACAGTGGCCGATATCGAACAGCGAATGCGTTAGCTACTATGCTAAATTTTGACAATTATGACAACAGAGTAGAATATTCAAACGAACTTACCCGAATGTGATTTCTTGTTGCTGTTGATACAGTTTTCGTTTATCCGTTTGCGTCGCCATGTTGTCGTTGTGACGATGTTCCGATGCAATGCTACTGTGTGTACAACATTGATTTTGTGTGTTGTTCTCTCCATTGCTACTACCAAATCTCAATTTTTTGTCAGCAATTTGTTTGCTGTCGCGACTTTTGTTTCTTTTGTATGTTTTGTCTTACCTTCTAATGGTTTCCCAATCATCTATCACTCACTCACTCATCCACACACACACACACACACACTCTTTTTATTTCACATAGATTCAATTTCCATCATCGTCATTTGACAATCTCATACGTAATACATATATTACAATTAATGTATGAATGTGAATGACGATAATCGAAACTAATCGAAAAATAATCGTAAAACAATCAATAATAATTAATAAGTAATTACCATTGCACCATCTTTGTTGTAGTATTCGCGAATGTTTACGTACACTTTTCCCTTGAACTCGCTCACAGTTACTCGTCGATTTTTGCCAAACTCCAATGAAAAGCCTTCATCTGTTTTCTTTGCCTTCTTCACCGGTGTACGCTATACAAATGGCGACGATAAATTCAATACTTATTTCGAACCAAATTATGATAACAAACATGGTATTTATAATGAATACTTACATCGTCTGGACCACTGTCCGAATCTGATGATGATTCGGCAGCCTTCTTTTTTGGCATTTTCTCTTCAACTGACTTTCGCAACAAATAGATTTTTTTATTTATTTTTTCAAGTATTTCGTCGAAAACACAAGAAAATCAACAACTAATCAAATAATAATGACTTTTACACCAATTCGTGAGATCGTTGAAAAGCAATTGTTTTAGTATTTCGATCAAAATCAATACTGTGAAAATTACTTACGATGTTGTCTCGAGCTCAATCGAAACAGTTGTGTGTGAACCGGCTTCACGCTTATTCCGCGCAATTTACTTTTTGTGTTTGTTAACTTGTCATACCGAATGAGAACTGTCAATTCGACGTTTGTGATATTTTTGTTCGCGCGATATTAGATTCAATTCGCCGCATGCGATGACCGCGAGCGACGTTTTAATTCAAAAGTGATTTTGAGCGAAAGTTACTTTTGTTTTCGTTTGATTAAGATCTTTTTTTGCAGTTAGGAAAGAGCATTTTAATTTGAGAACCTGTTCAAATTACTGGTCCTATTTTATTTAAAATGTCAAAATTAAAAAAAAAAAAAACGTTTTTTTGTTTCTTTCTCAATTCTTTTGTTTCTGAATGAATTTCTGAATATAATAGATATTACATGAAAATTATCACACCAAAACTAACAAAAAATCACGTAACAATTTTATTGACAAACAGAACGTGCAAAATTCAATGCAAATTACGAAATTGTTTTGCTTTATTTACTGGCTAATGATCATTTGTAACATGTAGTATAAGTTACGGCGTATACGTCGTGAGTAAATTAAAATGAAAGACAAGAACCGCGTACTGTTGTTTTATACATATTTTTATCATGATTATTTCTTTAAATATTTTAATGATTTCTATTTTGGTATTTTATATACATAACATTATAGAAAAGAATTGAAATTTAATTGAAAGTGCTTAGTTTTGGATTGTAGCATCGGTGCTACATTGCATGTTTTCGTGGTTTGAAAATTTCAGCAGTAAATAAATATTTAAAAAATGAGTCATTAAGTTGACTATGATTGTAAATATTGATTAAAATTAGATTTTCATTGAATAATAAGGAACTAAATCAATATAAAAATGTTCATAAAATACAATTAAATGATGATGAACTAGTATGAGCTAGTACTACAATGGCGCTTGCCATTGTTGTGACAGTTGTTTCATCGTTGTGTCATATTTATAAATATTATTATTAAATTATTTATTCAAACTATAGTTTGAATATGTTCTCAAATATTTATAAAATAAACGACGTTTTTCCATTTAATTTAAATAAATTTCTTTGTAAATTTTGTACAATGGTGATCATTTACGGTTACTATTGAATTGTATACTAGACAAATGCGCTGTTTTGTGCCTTTGTCAAGTTAGTTTTGTTCATTTGGTTTACTTTAACATATGTCCCATAAAGAATTGCACTACTTACAGGCGTTTATTACACTGCAATAACAAATACCAAAATATCAACCAATACACACGGAACGTCTATCAGTACCTCGAGACTACTATCAAACTCAATTCGACGAAATACATCCATTCGCAATATCGTACAAATTGGATTTACGAAAAAGTGGTTTTATAATGTTTATTCATAAATTCTGCATGTGTCTAAAGATGAACTAATCTGTCTTCGAACCATGTATCGTGTTTCATGGACTTAATATGAATATAAAGATTCTAGAAAAAGCCAAAAGTCCGGTCGTATTCTTAATTTAAATGCTCAAACCCTTCAAAATTGTCATCAAGTACCGAAAACCGGGTTGGTCAAGCAAAATTCATTTTTGGTGATTCTTATGGTTACAGCGCATCCAAGTTTGAATCAGAACAATAGATTTAGACACGATCATTAGGAATCAGCAAAATAAATTACAAAAAAATTCCAAAGGTTGTCAAAAATTGGGTGTTTACTTCACCTTATAGCATGTTGCACTGAAAAATTCATCATTTTGGGTAGTGAAACATTCATTGCCAAATCGAACCACGAATCAAGTGCAAGTGATTTCTTTTGCATTGATAACGTTAGGGCACTACTATATAAGGCTAGAGACGTCGACAAACCAAACATTGATAAAGGGGTGTTTGTATGGTAGAATCTTATTCGGAAGTTGTTTTAGAGCCATTATTCGAAAATTTAATGCTGTAACGTAAGGTAAAACCTCCATTACATGCTCCATTATCAACCAAATATTGTTGAAATCGATAGAATTCATTGAGAACTATCTGATTTAAGACAAAATTTTGCTTTGCAAGCAGAAAAGCCACACTTCTTAAAATATGACATTTCCATGAAAAAAGGACCATCTTTTTAACTTCACAAAAAGACACCAAATTAATTATTTCTAGTCTGTTTTTGGATGTATGTTAAAGGCGAAGGTCCAAAATACTTGAAATGTGCAATAATTGGTTGCATGGATTGGGAGAAAGTTGAAAGAAATCGACAAATCGGTTGTCCAGCACATGATTTAGAAAGGTTCGACGCATACTGAGAAAAATCGAAGAGAATGGCCCGTTCAATGTAAAGTGAATGTGCTATTCGATAGCCTATGATTAAAGGTTTATACCAATAAAAAAGAATTTAATATTGTGTGTTATTTATTATAATGGTGGACGCCTGAATTTGTGCAATTCTTTATGGAACATATGTTAGGTGACTTTTGCAGACTTTCGTATGCCTTTGCGTCATTACCTCAAATCTATTATGTGTTATATTCATCACAAAATTGAATTCGTAAGTTTAGATTATGTTTATTATTATAGTAGCATATACTTTATGTTACATTTGAAAGTCTACTACAGGGTGTGCCAGTGAAACTGATATTTTTATATATGCTTAAAAAACGTATTGTTTTTTACAAAAATTGAACAAAAACTTTATTGAGATTTAGAATAGAGTCCAAAATTTTGAATTCATGTTTTGGTTTCGGTTCTTCCTCCATTTGCACGGACCACCAAACGCAAACGTCGTAAAAAC